CAAGACAAAACACTTGGATAGAGGCCCAAAAACCTGCTGACCAAAAATCCCTTCAGTGGAAGCCAGATCATAATGCTCTCACCTTTATATTACTCCCAATAAGCTTGTACAAATCTGATTTGATCCATTGACACCCCATGACAGAGCCAAAAAAAATATAATGTCAAGTTCACCATGAGCTAGAACAGTAACACAATGTCACAACATCTTGTGTGACATTCCACCCTCATAGAGACATACAATCACAAACTTCTTGAAACCACAAACAATCTTGAAAAATAATTGTATTATTGCAGCAACAGATCCTAGACAGAAGTATAACTCCCCATATCAAGTATAACCAGTGCTCTTTTTCCAGAAGAACACCTTAACGTGAATGGAAAACATAAGACTCATCTTCATGTCTTCAAGAACCCACTCGTTGTTCAACACACCCACTAAACACATTCACTCACTGCTTGAACCACAAGCAACCTGTGTACGACAATAGTACGCCCATCAGATAGGAGCTCCCCTATCTTTTATAAAAGACGCTTCTTTCAGCAAGAAATACCCACGATCACCACATTATATCTCATGACCAACTTCATGCTCATACAGTGAGAAGGTACCATATTACGATCCTTGTACTATAACTAATGAACTCTTGGATTGAGACCAAAATTACCATTGATCCCTCTCGTCCTGAACCCATCCAGACCCTGTACAGATCTACCTTGAATCTTACAAGCATAGATATCCATGTTCCTTGAGAAAAAAAATCCAATTGAACATGGAATGCTTCACATTCCTTAAAGAGACATGCAGAGCCTCTTAATTTGTTAGTTATCCAAAATGTCATTCCCATTTAAAGGACATCAGATCCATGCTCCAGAAATCCTCAACTTGCTTCATAGGCACCAAACTTATCCACTTCTTTTTAGAGTTACTTGCAGCAAAAGAAACCATTTCTTCACAAGTATTCTGACCTCAGCCTGAGTCAGAGAACAAGATAGACACCCCATAATCCAAGACTGTCTTTACCTCATCATTCTCCCACATGATAAGTTAGAGCACTTCTGTTTCAACTAGTGAATATCAACTTCCACAATCTGAACCCCAAGTTCAGCAAACAAAATGATGTTCTAACATCAGTTAGGACATCCTAATCATGTCACAGACACCATAAATTATGGTTCTTGATACAATAACCGCTTGGATTTACTATCTGTATAGTAATCCAATCTAAGGATCTTCAGAGAGCACAGTTCCACCAGCTTGATCAACGAGAAATCCAAATAACATAGAGAGAATTAAACTCTCATACTTCTCCCAAAAGAAGGCACTCATCCTTAATCAACTTATGGTTTCTACCATAAGCTCCAAGACATGAACAGAACCAGAACCTCCTTTGGTCTTCAAATAACTATCCTTCTGCACAAGAGTAATTTTCTTCAAGCACACTTCTTAAATAACCAAATGGCACTGTTTGGTTAAATCAGCTTCTTTCAGAGCTCTAGAAAATCTTCTGATCCACCAAGAAAACTTGATCTTCAAGTTACATATCCTACTTGCTTCATAGCAAGGCATCTTAGATAAACCAAGACTTAGACCTGTAACATCTACTCCTTCTTGCAGCTCCCGCAAACTGCATGAGAAAGACCTTTTTGAAGCATTAATTTCATTCATACCCGAGAAGATCAACTTATCTTCAAATGATGTACCATTACATCAACTAAGACTCTGAAGTTCAGCTTGATGTCAGAACATCTGATAAGACATCCCGCTGGTGAATTCAATCCTTTATTATGCCACTTAGAAGAACCTCATCACTCTATCAGAACAAGAGTTCCATGTTCACATAGACTTGATTAATGATATCAAGTTTGAGTAGACAACCTCTATTATGCTTTATTGTACCACAACAAATACCTTGAAATGCATTTGCTTCAGGAACTCCTCTTTAGAGAAACCAAACATGCCAAAGCTTGATTCTTTAGAGAAGATTAGTCACAAAAGATCTTTAAAAAAGGAATCTCGCTTTCCTTAAGTAGAGACTTCTTCAAAAAGTCACAGATAACCGCCACTTATCCTTGACACCTACTGCACTCCATTACACCTAGATCACAAATAAACTGATCCAAGGTCAATTCATCAAGATGATGAAATCTTCATCTTTACTTCCATTAGCACCATTTTTTAGACAAGTTTCTTGCCAGGAAACTTTCTAGACAAATTACGTGCCTTTGTAGGTCCAAGCTGAGGAAGAATGCAAACACACACGTAAATGGTACCAAGATCATCAGCTACATCTCCTTTGCTTCAGAGAATCACTTTGAATCAACAAGATTTTGCATAATCTCTTCTTAACATTTGGTTGAACATCAGATATTTGAAGTAGACCAAACAAGTCAAGGGCCAGATGCTTGAGCAACAACTGATGAGACACCTTGATCATCGACTAAGGATAATCCATTAAATATTTGTGAATAGGAATGAATCTTAAATCCTTATAAGGAATCCTTCTTCCAGAAGACTAACTTGGATCATCCACCTGATGAATCATCTGAACTTCGACAATGTTGAACATTATGGATAACCAATTAAGTACTTGTGTATTCCCCAAATAGAAATTGATCTTAAATCCACGCAACTTGTCGAGAAGACCATCTGACAGATATTTACACTTCAGTAATACCAAAAGTATTCTTTAGTTAAAGGATCTTTAATGTTGAAACATCAAAGCTGACACCCTTGACTCAACCTGCCTATGACTTCCTCTGCTGATAGAACTCTTGCAAGTCATGAGTAGTGAAAATAAATCACCATCCATCAGCACCAGAGAACTTCAGAATTCGATCTTCAGCATGAGAACCAGATTATCTTCCTGAAGGAACTCTTAAACACGACCAGAGATGCCTTTATGGGGGGACTTAAGAGATATCTCAAGTATCTTTGGAAGCTTAGTCACAAAGTGTATTTACCAATTTCATAGATCGTGAATATGATAAATATGATCAACTCACCTTCTCTAACTTCAAGATACACGATGGAAACAACATTCCTAGTACCAAGTCAACAACGATAGATATCAACAAATAACTCTCTCCATTCCATTTCTCCCGACTTTGGAACAACTAGAGCTTTAAAAAATGCTGATATCTTAAAGAACAGAAGTCAATAAGCAAGATCTTTCACAATCTTTCTTCAATCACAACACTAGAATAACAAGACTACCAGAGTTTTTCCATTAGAAAAATATGCAGCGGAACTACCAAAGAACATCTTCAACATGCCCTAAACAAAATGTCAAAACATCTTATAGGACACCATACAAAAAAGGTATTCACTCCTCCTACAGTTGTTGTAGAAACTCCTTAGAAACCTTGAACAACCATAAGTAGTTGTTCCTCTTGATCCAGAACACTCATCTCAACCATCAATACCTTTGAGTATATCAGAATGAATGATCTGATCTCTCAAACTCCTCCTTGTTTAAATCACCAAAAAGTATGTCTCAAGATCTCATCCAGAACAGACATGATTCCTGCTCTGATACCAATTGAAATTCTAGTATGCAGATCTCAGATGTCCTAACAAATGTCGAGACATTAATCTCTGCTAAAACAGAACAAGGACAAAACACGAGCATTTTGATTTACTTTAAGAATTAACAGTGTCATGACAGATGTTATAACATCTGCAGACTGACAGAACAATTTATCCAACAATTTAAATAATGCAGAATTTTAAATGCAGAAAGATAAATAACACAATGAATTGTTAACCCATTTCGGCGCAACATCACCTACATCTGGGGGCTACCAAGTCAGGAAGGAAATCCACTATCAATAGTATCAATTTAGAGCTAAACTCCCCCGTTTACGACCCCTCACTTAATCCCTACCCAGTGCGACTTCTACCTAGGACACTCTTAGATAAGAGACTCCTCTCACTCCCCCTCAATCGCAGTAGTGATAACAACAGTTTAATAAAACATAAAAGACACTCTTCAAAGACAATACTTGATCTTGCTTAAAAGTTTCAATCAAGAACAATACTTACCTCTTGCTTTAAAGCTTCGAGTGAGAATAGTATACCACATAAATATGTCTACCACGATACATCAAAAGATACAAAGGGTGACTTACAAAGTCACACACAAAAGACTCTCAAAACCCTAAACCCTTATTTTGCACCCAAGATCTTCTTATTGGGAATGCTTGTCTTCTTTAGGTCTAACAAGTCCTTATTTATATACTCTTCTAGTATGGGCTTGGACTTTAGCAAAAACTACCTCAGATTTGATAAAATCAAATCAAATAATTCTTCAAATCTTTTCATAAGATAATTCTTCAAATCTTTTCATAATTAACACCAATTCAGATTTGATCAAATCAAATCAAACTCCAAATCTTCTCATAATTTTCTGCATGAAAATAGAACAAAAGATTCCACAATAACTCCACAAAAATAGGAACAAATATTTTCTAATTTCCTAAAAAGTCTCAAAGATTCTTTTTATGAAATCCAATTAAACCTGCACTTTGTTCCTAATAAATCTTGACCTGCGTATAATGATGAGATATATCCAACAGGATCTCATCAAATCAAAACACATCTGTCAAGAGATATAAAATAGCAGCACCTGCTGTACCAAACCAAGATGTCATGACATCTGTCTCAAACACATGGTAGTACTGTCATAACAGTTGATGAAGATACAGTTGATGAAGATGTTAAAATCATGAAACTAACACTTAATAATATAAGATCATTCATTTATAGTACAACGATACTGCACTAAGCCACTACTATATGTTAAACAATAACAACAATCAAGTATCATTCTCCTTGGCGGAGTTGGCTACATATATCAATAATGTCATGTCCAATTCACATTATGTCATACAGATTCAACACAGTTACATTGTAAAGTAAATCAAAATTTGGCTTTCAGGGCCAACTAAAAAGTCTCATCTTATACTGCGTGATGGTTTAGACTAGTCATTAACAACTGACTAATTATCCTTTGAAACAAGGGCAGTTTTTGATCCGTACTTGGAGAAAACGCCACCCAATACAGCCTTTTCCTTGATCTTTAACCTGCACCAGAGTCAACAATGCATGAGAAATGAACACAAAATTGAATTCATGCTAAAAACAACTATGATGCACAGGGAAATCACCTTTTCGCAGATCCAGGAATATCTAAAACCTTTTTTGCATTCTCTTTTGTAGGTTTTTGCTTAGGAGCATTTTTTTGTCCAACTTTGTCAGATGCTTTCTTCTTTCCACCAACCTGCTTTGAGGGAAGTGAATTGATTTCAGAATTATTTACCATTTCTACTCTGTCATCACTATCCAACTTCAAAGCAGTGACAAGCTCTTCATTCTCCCCATCACTTTCCCTTTGATCATCTGTATTATCTAAATCGGTTTCTTCCCAGGTACCTAGGGCAGAATCATCCATATAAGAATCCTCATTTGAATCATCTTCAAAGGAGGGTAACAGAGGTAGAGCAGTGTTGTGATTTTTTCTTAATTCCAGAGAAGAAGAGGAAGACTGTGCATTTACAAGCTCGCATTTTATCTGCTTTTGAATTTTGCCAAATGTAATAGTTTGTCCGGTGTATAACTCTACAAACCTGAAGAATAGAGAGCAATTGAGTTAGTAATTATGTTAAGAAACTAGTACAGCAAAAACAACCTGAAAAATAATACAAGAAGCAAAGTCTTTCACTGTCACAAGTACAATGATCAAAATGTAATAGATCCAGATGCTACATGCATGCTCTCACTTCATTTAAGTCAAGTAAAAATAACATAAAGAAGCTCGAATAAACTGGCCAAGAAAAGCAAACCATCTTTTACTAATTTCAAATATTTTTCATTATGATAAACCCAATGTATTTAAAATAAAACACTTTTAACATTGTCAAAACTCGTGAAGAAATCACCATTGATATATTTTTCATTACAATAATGTCATGCATTGTATGTATTAAATTTAAACATACTATTCCTTTATTTTCCATTAATGTTACATGGTTGAGGTCAGAACAAACCTAACTGCATCTCCTTCATGCTTGAAATCAACAAAAGCAAAACCCTTACAGATAGGATCCCTTGTCTTCTTGTTTCCAATAACAGCAGGGACTATATTTACTATACCCGGAATCCCTTGAAAAGCTGATTTCAAATCCCTATCAATTTTCCTTTTCTTTGGTAGATTCACCAAACGCACTTGGCTTCGGATAGGAACAGCCTTTTCATCTGCAAAGTGAAATTTCATATTGTAAGCTCAAAAGGAATAAGAAGACAGTCTGGGACAAGACCCCAGCCTTTTTCTACAAGTCTTCAAATTCTTTCCGATAAACATTAACATAACAGCTGTGCAGTTTTGTACAAGTCGAATTACAAAAATGTTGAGAAGATAAAAAAAACAGAAGTCTAGAGGCAAATATTTTTTTTGAGAAATTCCTTTAAAACTAATCACTAGTGCACAAGTTATGTATTGATTGTACCAACCAATAAGCATTGATGATACTCTTACGAGCAGTGGCGGATCTTGAGGAAAATTGAGGGGTACCAAAAACTAAAGTATATATATAAATTATTTTTAAAAAATTATAATAATTTGTTAGTTGATTTGGTGGTTATTTTGTGTTTAAATTTCGATAAGGATGAAGATTCTAATGTTGTATAATAGTTTGTTAGTTGATTTGGTGGTTACTTTGTGTTTAAATTTCCATAAGGATGAAGATTCTAATATTGGTAACAACACTTTTTTTGAAAAATTAATATAAAATTGGTGGAATCAAAAGTCAAACTCCTGGCCTCAGGTAGAAAAGAGGTAACCTCTACCACTCGGCCATATGAATTTGAGGGGTGCCATGGCTCTCCTTCAGCCCCATATAAATCTGTCACTGCTTACGATATACCTATATTTTTTATTCCTTTAACCATGCTCCACCTACTTAAGTTGTTGGATTGGTGTTATAATGCAAATATTGCCGCAATAATACGGCTGCTGCCAGCCTCTTCACTTGTGGAGGTAAGACTACCTACATCCTCCATCCCCAAACCTCCCACATGGTGAGAGCCTTGTGCACTGAGTTGCCTTTTATTGGTATAATTGTTAGACTTCTATGCCAACCAAATGACCTAAACATAAGGAGTCTTGATACACCGATAAAAAGTGGGTGTGCCACAAGTTGCCCACAAGCATTATTCTCTAAGACAAATTATAATGTGCACTTCTCAATGAAATAAGGAATAATCAAGCAAGCTTGTATTATCGAAAATGAGAAATTACTTTGCCATGGATACATGCAATATAAAGGACAACTAAAGGAAGAGTCGGACTATAAGTAGCTTACGCAGAATAAAGAGATCCCGCCATAAGATAACAAGGGTGAGCATTGTCAATTCGACCAGCTACATTAAGGACAATTCAGAAAAACTAGGCCCAACCCCGATTGGGAAAGAATAACCATTAAAAGATTATGTATATTACAGTCTCTCCCTTAAAGCATCTCGCCCATACGGGCCTCGTGCTTGAGGGGCTGCGTACATCCCGGATAATTTATTAGGTCGGGCTCTGGTCCCGGATTTGGAGCAACTCGCTCCTCTTATCATGGATGATCCAAGAAGGCATAAACGGGTTGGGCGTGTTAGTGGGCCGGGTACTCTCATATAGCTTCTCGCCCCTACGGGCCTCGTGATTGAGGGACGTACCTTCCAGATTTTTAGGGGTCGGGCTCCGGTCTCAGCGGTCTCAGGTATGGGGTTAACCCACCCGGTTTGATAGACCAGCCCATAATCGGCATATCCAACTGGGAGATATTACACATACGCGTGTGGATATGGTTTTAAATATACATTAAGAAGTCGTGAATGGCTCATTTTAGATGAACCAACTCTCATGGAAAAATGCTTAATGCACACATTGTCAACAAAACCAACGAAATGAACAGAACCCCATCATTAAAAGCATAATAATTTCACCAAACAAATCATCATAGCTAACAGGAGCTAAAATTTAATAAATAAAATTTAAAACAGTGAATTTTGATGGGTTACCTTTCTTCTTCTGAGCATCATTTTTGGAGGCATTGTTGATAGGATTAGTTTTAAGCTTTTTCAAATTAGCAGCTTGTGCTCGTTTACTTCGCTGCAATTCTTCAAGCATCTTATCTTCAATTGAAGTGTCATACACTTTCCCTTCACCAAACCCCTTCGGCTTCTTCTCAAACCATTTTCTCATCGCATCAGACGCACCTATCTCTTCTTCCACATCATCATTATCATCAGCAGCAGCAGCAACATCTTCTTCGTCCTCTTCATCATATTCGAAACTAACATCCTCGTCATTTTCGTCGTCGAAATCCCTCTCAATTTCAACTAGGTTCACGCTTCCACTACCTTGCTTCTTCGCTGCCGCCAGGACAAATCCACGACCACCGCGTACGGCGCCAAAACACTTCACGGGAAGTTGCCGGGATTGTAGGAGGTTGAAACTCGAAGCGAAAGAAGAACGAGGACAAATGACACGAGTGGGTTCAAGATAAGGACACGTGTGCTTTGCAGAGAGAGCCGCCACGGAATTGTTCGGTGCCGGAAATGCAGTTGCTCGGAGCATTATTTTATTTGTTTGTCACGGCGATAGTGTCAACTTCACCCCTTCCGGATAAAATGTTTATAAGTTTAAAGTTTTCAAATTTTTCACAATTATTATGTTATAATCTTAAAACATTATCAAGTATCAACTGGGTTTCGTGGTGTAGTTGGTTATCACGTCAGTCTAACACACTGAAGGTCTCCGGTTCGAGTCCGGGCGAAGCCAAGTTGTATTTTTTGTTTCATTTAGTTGTTTGATGGGCTTTCTTTTATTTTGATACCGTGGCAAATGGGCTCGTTGTGTATGATTGAAGAGAGTTTACATATTTTCTTTATTAAAAACTTTGGAATATATATAAGTATCAACTGGGTTTCGTGGTGTAGTTGGTTATCACGTCAGTCTAACACACTGAAGGTCTCCGGTTCGAGTCCGGGCGAAGCCAAGTTGTATTTTTTGTTTCATTTAGTTGTTTGATGGGCTTTCTTTTATTTTGATACCGTGGCAAATGGGCTCGTTGTGTATGATTGAAGAGAGTTTACATATTTTCTTTATTAAAAACTTTGGAATATATATAAGATTTGAACATTTTAATTGCTAAAACCTCAGAGTATATTATTATGCATGGAATAATTTATAATTTTTTTTTTGACATTTTGTAACATCAAAACTTTTGAAGTATGAAAAATTATATTTTTTTCATTTTCAATATATTTTATAATTTGAAAATTTTAATATAATAAGAATATTTTTTTTAAATCTAATATTTGTTATTATTAGAATCTTTGTAGTAGAAGAGATTTTGAATTTTTCATTTATAAAATTTTTTTATAAAAAATTGGAATATGTTTTCTTTTGTATATATATAAATTATAAATTATTTTATAAAGTTTTTAGAAATTTCGATTCATGATAGAGAATCCTGAATTGGTGATGCTAATCTTCGATGTAGTGGTATAGGGTGAACTTGCAAAGTTAGTACTCCAATGTCCAGGTCAGTTCATAGTACAACATGAGTATAGTGAAAAGTGAAGATTAAAAAAATGTACATTGAGTCTTATATTGAGTCTTATATATGTCGGATTTATACGTTGGATTATTTTTATGTGGCTTGTATCTGGTTGGGCCTTTGCTTAGGGTCTTTGGCCGGTGCAGAACAGTTTCTCCCGAGGCTTTGTCGGGTGAGAACCAATCGGGAAAATCTTCGAAGTTATGGTCGGCCTCTAGCAATGGTATCCAACCTTGGAGAGAAGCATAAACGCTTTGGATCAGTTAAAAAATTAATGAGAAATAACGCATTAAATGTTTTCTTTTATTTTGAATATATATAAGATTTGAACATTTTAATTGCTAAAATCTCAGAGTATATTATTATGCATGGAATAATTTATAATTTTTTTTTTGATATTTTGTAACATCAAAACTTTTGAAGTATGAAAAATTATATTTTTTTCATTTTCAATATATTTTATAATTTGAAAATTTTAATATAATAAGAATATTTTTTTTAAATCTAATATTTGTTATTATTAGAATCTTTGTAGTAGAAGAGATTCTGAATTTTTCATTTATAAAATTTTTTTTATAAAAAATTGGAATATGATTTCTTTTGTATATATATAAATTATAAATTATTTTATAAAGTTTTTAGAAATTTCGATTCATGATAGAGAATCCTGAATTGGTGATGCTAATCTTCGATGTAGTGGTATAGGGTGAACCTGCAAAGTTAGTACTCCAATGTCCAAGTCAGTTCATAGTACAACATGAGTATAGTGAAAAGTGAAGATTAAAAAAGTGTACATTGAATCTTATATTGAGTCTTATATATGTCGACTTTATACGTTGGATTATTTTTATGGGGCTTGTATCTGGTTGGGCCTTTGCTTAGGGTCTTTGGCCGGTGCAGAACAGTTTCTCCCGAGGCTTTGTCGGGTGAGAACCAATCGGGAAAGTCTTCGAAGTTATGGTCGGCCTCTAGCAATGGTATCCAACCTTGGAGAGAAGCATAAACGCTTTGGATCAGTTAAAAAATTAGTGAGAAATAACGCATTAAATGTTTTTCCATCATTGAAATATTTTTCCGAATTTTTCCTATGCGTGGTTTCAAGTGATCAACTTAGAGTATGACGCTTCCTTCTAGTGCACTTAAGTTTGTTTACATTCCCTAGGCGAAATATCGATTCATGATAGAGAATCCTGAATTGGTGGTGCTAATCTTCGATGTAGTGGTATAGGGTGAACTTGCAAAGTTAATACTCCAATGTCCAAGTCAGTTAATAGTACAACATGAGTATGAAAAATTATTATGCATGGAATAATTTATAATTTTTTTTTTGACATTTTGTAACATCAAAACTTTTGAAGCATGAAAGATTATATTTTTTTCATTTTCAATATATTTTATAATTTGAAAATTTTAATATAATAAGAATATTTTTTTTAAATCTAATATTTGTTATTATTAGAATCTTTGTAGTAGAAGAGATTCTGAATTTTTCATTTATAAAAAATTGGAATATGTTTTCTTTTGTATATATATAAATTATAAATTATTTTATAAAGTTTTTAGAAATTTCGATTCATGATAGAGAATCCTGAATTGGTGGTGTTAATCTTCGACGTAGTGGTATAGGGTGAACTTGCAAAGTTAGTACTCCAATGTCCAAGTCAGTTCATAGTACAACATGAGTATAGTGAAAAGTGAAGATTAAAAAAGTGTACATTGAGTCTTACATATGTCGGCTTTATACGTTGGATTATTTTTATGGGGCTTGTATCTGGTTGGGCCTTTGCTTAGGGTCTTTGGCCGGTGCAGAACAGTTTCTCCCGAGGCTTTGTCGGGTGAGAACCAACCGGGAAAGTCTTCGAAGTTATGGTCGGCCTCTAGCAATGGTATCCAACCTTGGAGAGAAGCATAAACGTTTTGGATCAGTTAAAAAATTAGTGAGAAATAACGCATTAAATGTTTTTCCATCATTGAAATGTTTTTTCGAATCTTCCCTACGCGTGGTTTCAAGTGATCAACTTAGAGTATGACGCTTCCTTCTAGTGCACTTAAGTTTGTTTACATTCCCTAGGCGAAATATAGTTGTTGATCTTATAACTTATCGCTTTTGATGATCTGGTATGTTGATTTCCTTCTTCTATATATAAGTAGTGCTAAAGAAAGATGTTATGAGGTGATTCAAAATGAGAAAAATGAGTTAATTCTAACTCAAATAGTCATTAGATGTAGAATGTGCATATATTACATAAGGTTTAACTAAGTCACTCAAAAAGATCATTTTCCATTATCTTTCATGGATCAAATGTTGGAAAGATTAGTTGGCCAAACTTTTTACTATTTCTTAGATGGATACTTTGGTTATAACCAAATAATAGTAATTCCTAAGGATAATGAAAAGAATTCATTTGCATGCCCTTTTAGAGTATTTGCTTACCGAAGAATTCCCTCCAGACTATGCAATGCTCCTTCCACCTTTCAACAATGTTTGTAGGCTATTTTCTCTGATATGATTGAGAAATGCATCAAAGGCTTCATGTATGACTTCTTTGTATTTAGACATACATTTGATGCATGTCTTCACAATCTGGGCGTCGTGTTAAAGAGATGTGTTGAGACTAATCTAATTATGAACTAGGAAAAATGGAATTATATGGCAACATATTGAATTGTACTCGGACACAAAATATCTACCAGAGGAATCAAAATGGATAAAGCAGAAGTAAAAGTAAACGAGAATCTAAAATTTAAAATGTAATAATAGTTTAGGGGAAATCTAAATTTTTTCGTGTAATACATTATGCAAGCAAAGTTTTGAATGAAGCACAAATCAATTATGCCACAATTGAAAAATAATTGCTAGCAATAGTATATGCAGAGAAAAAATTTTAAATCATATTTGATGGGTTTGAAAATAGTTATCTATATTGACCATGAAGCTATCAAATATTTGATGAACAAGCTTGATTCCAAATCATACTTGATTCGATGGATGCTCTTACTTCAAGAATTTGACATAGAAATAAAAGAAAAAAAGGGATCAGAAAATATGATAGTTGATCGCTTATCTCAATTAATAAACAAAGAGATACCCGTGCTGGAAAAATTCCCATATGTGCAACTAATCATGATATAAGAAAGGTCTTGGTTTGCATATATGACCAATTCAAAGTTTTTAGGATTCTTCCATATGACCTAAATTGGTAGGGAAAGAAGAAATTTATGAAGGATGCAAAGCAATATGTGCGAGATGATCCATACATTTTTTTAATATGGGTTGATCACCTTCTAAGAAGATTTGTGAGCAACAAGAAGATGCAAAGTATAATTGTGAATAAGATATTCATTATCTATCTTAGTTTAGTTTTGATGCATGACAAAATATTATCAAAGAAGAAAAAGGTTGAAGTCTTAGATCATTTAATTATCATGATTCCTTAAGTCACTGGATGTTGAATTAGAAGGAATTGATCATAATGCAAAGGTATTTGATTGAAATTAGTATTATAACTCCTTAGATACTCATAAAACCATTCATCTTTTCATCTCAAATATTTCTAAGCATCCTTGCATCAATACCTTGCATTCTAAGTCATCTGCAAGAGTATTTTTCAAGTTAATCAACAGTGTAATCGGTTACACTTTGTACCTAACCAATTAAACTCTCTACGTAACCGGTTATAGGATCCTTCTATAATATATTTTTGCAAATTGAGAGGGTGGTAAACAATTACACCTTTTATTTAATTTGTTACAGGTCCAGTCTGTTTGAAATTTTTAGCTGTTACAAAAGGAGGTAACCGATTACACCATTTATGTAACCGGTTACAACCTACAAATTTTTGAAAAAATTGAACCAACATGAATCCAAAACATTGCAAATCATCATGAAACCTCTACAATCTTTTGCATCAGCTTATAGAGGTGTCTTAACATCTATTTAAGTCAAAATTCATGAGTTTTAAAATTACCCCTTTCATTCAAATTTACATACAATTCAAATCTCTTTTATGTGATT